CCACTGAAGTTTGTACTCCATTAGCTTAGTGTGGTTAGCTAGTATTTTGACAGTTTGTTTAAATGCCTGAAGTCATTGGAAAAAATTCTTTCCAAGTCTTTGCAGATTGTCTTAGCACTCTTTCGATGCTTATAACTCTGCCTGAGCCTTCACTTCCAACTTGAGCAGAGCTTGTGGTCAGCCTAGAGGTGAAAGTTTCTCATCTTGCTAGGCATTTTCTGAGGATGTATCCAGCCCTGGGCATGCATGTGGGCTTCTTGATTCCCCACTATATGTAGGAGCTTTTTAAAAGCTGTAGTCTCCCTTGCCAACATCTTTCATCATAGGCTTTCCCTCTCATTGCTGGTCCTGTTTTTCCTTTCTCCAAATTGCTACAGCCAACACTTAAGTCTTTAAACACCAGTGAAGCCACCTCCTCCTTTGGAGCACTTCTAGTTGAGTAAAACCTAAGCATGCCCTTGTGCTGTTCCATCTGGGAGGTAGGTGAAAACCCACCACAATTCTTTGAGAATAAGATCTGTATTGCTCCCTCTGGCACCTGCAACCTTTGCCCAGAGCACAATCAGCATCTTATGGCTGTTACGAATCTGAAGTATAGGAGTATGACAGATGGACAATTAAAAGCTACTTTCTTGGGGTGCCTGGGTGGCTCAATCCGTTAGACAACTGCCTTCAGGTCCTGGAATCAAGCCCTGTGTCAGGCTCTCTGCTCAGTAAAGATTTTGCTTCTCTCTCTCCCTCTGCCCCATCCCCCTGCTTGTGTGCTTGTTTGCTCTCTCCCTCTCCCTCTCTCTTTCTATCCCTCTTTCACTCTCTCTCTTGCAAATAAATAAAATCTTAAAACAAACACTCTGCTTTCTTCAAGCCTTCTAGTAGTTTTGATTTTTTTTAGTAGATTTCAGAGTTCTGCAAAAATTGATTCTGACACTTTTTGACAGCTCGTTAGTTGCTTTTCTGGAGGAACCAAGCCCTCAGATTCCCATTTCCATCTCTTCCTGATGCCAATCCCCCTGGACATATTTTTCTAATGTATGGGTTATGTACCCAGCTTATTTTTCCTGTACACTTTGTAATCTGTTTTATGATTTAGGATTATTTCAACCTGAAGGTATATAGAAACAGGCTGCGAAACTCCTGTTTTATATCCTATATTAGAAATTTGGGTAGCACATAGACCATTTTAAAACTTCAGATACCAAGAACTTTGTACAGCTCAAGGATTAGGTACTTTTCTAATAAAAGAAAAAGAATATTTGTAAAAGTTATTCTAAATTTCTAAATTTTTATATTTAGTTTTGGAATATTGTAATAGATTTCTTTTTTTTTTTTTAAAGATTTTATTTATTTATTCATGAGAGACACAGAGAGAGAGGGAGAGACATAGGTAAGAAAAGCAGGCTCCCTATGAGCAGCCTAATGTGAGTCTCAGTCCCAGGACCCTGGAATGCCCGGATCACGACCTGAGCCAAAAAGGAAGATGCTCAACCACTGAGCCACCCAGGTGTCCCTGTAATAGCTTTCTAATGCCTTGATTGTTTGGAGGCCTACAATAGATAACTTTAGGTGATTTAAGTCCAAGTGAAATTTTGGTAATTCACATCTAATGAGTTGTTTATTTCTTTATTACATCATTTAGTTATTAGTGAATGGAAGGCAAGATTTTTAGCATGTGTGATTAAGTACCTTAAAATTTTCATTTAGTGAGGAATATTAAATGCTTATCACTATGTCAGGGGTTGCCAGCCTCAGCACTATTGCCATTTTGGGCCATGTAATTCTTTATAAGAGGGGCAATCTAGGATATAATTTAATTTAGGTACATTTCATTTGGTGTTCATGTCTCTTTCAACCCCTTTAATTCAAAAGTTTTGAAATTATCGTCAGACTTTTTTAGCCACTAGTTTTAATTTTCATTGATTTTTTTAAATCTCTGTCATTTCTCCTGTGTTTATTGGTTGACATTTCACCATATAAATGAACTCCTCTTTTCTTCCGCAGTTTGAGTTTGTGTGATGTTTCCTCATTATTAAATTTGAATTATACTTTTTTGTTAGAAATACCACTGTGGTGATATGTCTTTTAAGTACATCATATCTGTTGAGACAGAATGTCAATTTGTCTCAATATAGGTGATACTAATTTTCATTATTTGGTGATGTCTGCCAGGACTACTTCACTGAAGTTAAAATTTTATTTAACTTTGTATTTATTTATATTGATATGGATTCATTTGTTCTTATATAGTCAGTGAGTTATAATCCATTAAGGTTTATATATATTTTGTTACTCAGATCATCATAGTTTAGGCTCCTTCATGGTTTTTTGTGTCCTCTTAAGATATGTCCCCATAATTCTTTAAGTACTTTTTCGGTTTTCTGGTACAAAATGTACCAGGCATGGCTTATATACTTTTCCTGATTCATCCTTGAAATCAGCCTTTGCTCCAGATTGCTCTGGTTTGTTTTGGTAGAGAATGGTATTTAGAAACCAATATTGGGGCTGCTTATGACCAACCGTCTTATTAGCAGAAGAAGCTAGGAAAGCTAAGAAATGTATTATGTATGTGTATATATATGTACTTTCTTCTGTAGCAATCTTTTAAAAATTGTGAATTTATACTGTTACCTTCAATTTCAGTCTAATGCCACAAAGCACATATAATTCTAGTCCCCCTTTTGTTATTAGTAATACTCTTCTCCAACAGTGAGAATTGTTACTCCTTGTATTCTCCACATATTTACTAATTTGCTCAGGTCTGGAATATGCAAAAAGTGTACATTATACTCTAGATTTGAAACCTACTAAGTAGAGTTGAGCCAGTGCTCACGGGGTGTTTTTTTGTTTTGGTTTGTTTGGTTTGTTTTTTTTTTTTGTTTGTGTGTGTGTGTGTGTGTGTGTGTGTGTGTGTGTGTGTGTGTTTAAATTTTTAAGGTCCAATTACCTAGAGTGAAGTACACCAAATTTAAGGGTACACTTAGATTGAGTTGAGACAAATAGATACCCCTGTTCCATCCACATACTTGTCAAGATACAGAACATTTTCATCATCCTTTATGTCTCTTCCCAGTTAGTTTTCCAACCACCCAAGATAACCTCTTCTGATTCCCCCCCATCCTCCACTTATAGGTAAGTATTAACCTATTTTAGAACTTGATATAAGTGGAATCATACAAGATAAATTTTTTGTGTCTAGTTTCTTTCATTCATTACAGATTAATTCATGTTGACTGTGTCAGTAAGATTTTATGACATTTAAAAATTAACTTTAGCCCGTGAAACTTTTGTCATTGGATTTATGCTCCCTTTCATTATGTTCATGGATTTCTGAATATTAACTTTTCCCCCCAGCATGAGATATACTTCGTTCTCCTTTCCTATTGTGTATTCTTTGTAAAGACTAAAATAATTCTAATATTTTATATCTAGGTGAGATATGAGAAGGAATTAATAATACAATTGTCCCATGCATAAGCTGTAACATTGGTCAAGGAATGTTTGAGATAGTCTGTTTTTTCATTGTTTTTTTTTTGGGGGGGGGGGTTGTTATTACTCCTGTGATCAGAAGGGTACAATGCCTTATCAAATTGAGTGTCTTTTAGAAGTACTTTGAGGAACTTCCTGTTGAACTTCGAGAATAGCTATAGATCTTTGGGCAAGTAACATAAATGTTAGATCTTTTGTTTTTTGTTTTTTGTTTTTTCCGCAAGTCCCTAAGACTTTCTTCCCCTTCCCCCCTCCACTATAATTTCTTTATGTTGTTAAGACTCTTTGATTTCTATTAATTTATCTTCAAAATCACTCATTCATTACTCTCTCATCTGCATTCTGGTTATGTTATTTCTTCTAAAATTTCCAGTTCTTACTGTATTTCTGATTTTTTGCTGTAACTTTATATTTTTTTGTTTTTGGTGTGTTTATAATTGTTCATTGAAGTATTTTATGATAGCTGCCTTAAAATCCTTGTCAGATCATTAGACAACTGAGGTCTGTGTCTGTTAATTGTTAATTATTTTTTCTCACTCATGTTCAGATTTTCTTGGTTTGTGGTATGATGAATGATTTTAACTTTATTATTGTATCCTGGACATTCTGGATATTATGCTATGAGACTTTGGATCTTCTGTTTTAGCAGGCCTCTTCTGACACTGCACCAGCAGGGGAAGGAGAGCTGCTTCATTACTTCAAGTTTGGGATGGAAGTCCAGTTGTCCTACTTGGTTTCTATTGGCCTCTGCTGACATTACCATGGTGGGGAGGGTAGTTTCCCTCAGGATTCTAGCCTCCATTCATCCCTCTGGACACTTTAGGGAGGGTGGAAGGGTGCATTTCTTACTGCTAGGCAGAAGTGGAATTCTAATCTCCCTACTTGGTCACAACTGATAAATGTGAGGAATGGGTTTCATGGTCTTTGGCCAGAGGAGGGCAGTTATAATAAAAAATGTTTTGTTTTGCTTGCTTGCTTTCTTTGTCTGTTTTGTTTTGCTTCCTAAGGCTATACCTTTCACTAGAGAGACCAGGCTTCTCTTGTGGTAGGTTTTCTGTTACTTTGTTTTTCTTTTTCTTTTTTGCCTATGTTCAGCTGGTATTTCTGGATTGCAGGCTTCTGTTATCCAGTCCAGTAAACCTAAGTGGCTAAAAGAAAACCCAGAGAACTCATTGTCCTATTCTTCAAGTTCCAAGGTCATTAGATAGCTCATCTTCCTTCCACTATTCACAGTCTTTTAACTTTTTATATATTGTGCTCAGAAATTTTAGCTGTATTTGGTGGAAGAAATAGGGAGAAATTTGTTTTCTCATTTTGCATGGAACTAGGTTTCCTAAATAATTTAACAGAAAAAGTAGTCCATTGAGAATTTAAAAAGAAATGCCAAAGAAAAATTTAAATTCTTAACAATATTTTACTGTTTTTGTAAGTCACTAAGAGATATACATAAAGTTAAATATATTTGTTGTAGATATGTATGTAGGTATAAAAGCTTACGTATTTCTTTATTCCTTTAGGATTATGTACTGAAGGACTCTACCGTGTTAGTGGAAACAAAACAGATCAAGACAATATTCAAAAGCAGTTTGATCAAGGTAAGATATATAAAATAAAATCATTTTTTAAAATTATTTTCCTTATTGAAATTCCATGGTAGGAAGATTGGTTTTTTAAGGGTACAGGATTTTGAGGGGAAAGAGTTTTGAAGCAGGATTAGAAGTGTGTGATAGAATACATACCACAGTCAGGAAGTAGAAGAGCTATAAATCCATTACCAGAATTAGAAAAGCAATAAATTTACTTACTACATACCAGTATCTTTGTATATCAGGAGATGGTGCTTATTTATTTATTTATTTATTTATTTATAAAGATTTTATTTATTTACTCATGAGAGAGAGAGAGGCAGAGGGAGAAGCAGGCTCCATGCAGGGAGCCCAATGTGGGACTCGATCCCGGTGTGGGACTCGATCCCGGGATCCCAGGATCAGGCCCTGGGCTAAAGGCAGAAGCTAACCCGCTGCGCCACCCAGGATCCCCAGATGGTACTTATTTAAAGATGCAATTGAAATTTTTTTTTTTCATGCTGTAGGGCCAACTAACCATTAGAAATAAAAACAAAACTGAACTCCCTACTCTAAATTCTATAAGAAATCAAAGTTTTAAATACAAAAAATGAAAACTGAATATTATGGAGAAAAAGCAAATATTTTTATAATCCTGGAGTAGAGAAAAGCCTAAATTTGATATGAAAGTTAGCATAAACAGGGTGATAAACTGGACTACCTAAAAATGTAAAAAGTCTTTGTGAAATTGTGGATAAAACCTAAATCAGGAGACAACCTATAAATTTGTGGAAGGTGTGGAATATAATCTAGGCTAGATTTTAAGCAGTTCAAATCAAAGAAAGTGATCAAGCATATGAAAAGCTCTGTCTCTATGATTTGTAGATATAAAAAAGCAGAAACATTTGGTTTTGATTTATTACCAGTGGAAAAGATTGTTGACAGAGTATAGACAAGCAGGTATGTTACACACTCCTGCTTGTAGGTGCCTTTTAAGAGGCAATTCATGTATATCTGTTAAAATTTAGATATCTTTGCTAGAGAAACTCCATTTATAAATATGTTACAGAAGTCTGTGTAAGCTTACAAAGATACACTTGAAAAAGCATTCATTGCAGCATTATCTGAAATTTTTTAAAAGGAGGAAAGGGCCTACCCATTGTGCTTATAAGTAGAATACTAGATACTTACATAAAATGTAGATTTGTGTGTGTTGAAATGGCAAAATGTCCATTGTTGAGTGGTGTGTGTTTGCCTTGCTTTGAAAGTGTATTGTATATATAGTACTTCATTTTTAAAAAAGATTTTGTTGGGAAATCTGTTGAGACTTTATCAGATTTGTATGATTTCAATTATAGTAATGAAGGAACGGGTAGTAGTTAATACTAGGGCCTCTTGAATTAGATTTCCTGGTTTCATTTTCTGGTCTGCTACTTACTGTCTTTGTGCCATAGGGAAGTTAAGTTTTCTAATTCTTTCATATTAAGAATGAGAGTGATTAGAGGAACTATGATGAATAACGAGATAATGAGTGTTCTGTGGGACACAGCATATTAAATATTCTTCAAATAGCTATTGTTACAAGGAATGTAGCCTAGGAAAATAAGCTTTAGTATATACAAGTGTTTATCATAATGGGGATCCCTGGGTGGCTTAGCGGTTTAGCGCCTGCCTTCGGCCCAGGGCGTGGTCCTGGAGACCTAGGATCGAGTCCCACGTCAGCCTCCCTGCATAGAGCCTGCATCTCCCTCTGCCTATGTCTCTGCCTCTCTCTCTCTCTCTCTCTCTATGTTTGTGTCTCTCATGAATGAATAAATATTTTTTTAAAAAAAGACAAAAAAAAGTGTTTATCATAGCATCTTTAATGTATTTAAATGAAATCCAAATGTTCAGTAATAAAATGTTATGTAAATTGTTAAATTTGGGGGAATATTTTGTGGTCATTAAGACTATTTAGGGCAAAAGGTTAATAATGGGTTAGGATATATGTAGGTTCTTTAGTACTGTACTTTCAAATTTCCAGTTATATTACAATTAAATGTTATCTGGCACACAGTAAAGTTTTTAAAAGTTGCCTGTGAAATTTTAATGATCTTAAGTAATGCCTTAAAAATGAAATCCAGTATAAAATGCATTTATGATTTAGCTGGTGGTTTTGTTTTGTTGATTTTTTTAATGAGTAGAAAGGGCTGTAAGGAAATACGCTGATATAAAGTATAAACAGTGCTTGTCTTTAGGTGATGGGGTAAATTATTTTTGTTGGTCTGTGTACATTTTCTATCGTAAGTATCCGTTGTACTTAAAAAAGTAAAAAAGCGGTTCTTTTAGTAGCAAATTAACCTTATGACACCCCTTTAGTATGTTCCATACTTGTTTTTAAGTCAAAACTTCACTGATAAGTTTTGAAATTAAACTATTTCATATAAAAAATTAAGTATAAACTTAGAAGGTATAATTTATATGCTTATTTATATTCAAATTTATATACTTGATTCCTGTATTTTGTCTTTCTGTTTCCTTATGGCTCTTTTGAACAGCTTATGTAAACAAAATATTCTAAAAGATAGGTATTAGTGAAAGCTAATGTTCTTAAACATACTAATAAGCCTAACAGCATTTTTTTGTTGTAATAGAAGGTGCTTCTTACTTGGTTCTCTCTTCCCTTATGTCAGGCAAACTTACATTAAAACATTGGGAGAGGGATCCCTGGGTGGCTCAGCGGTTTGGCGCTGCCTTTGGCCCAGGGCGCGATTCTGGAGTCCCGGGATCGAGTCCCACATCGGGCTCCCAGCATGGAGCCTGCTTCTCCCTCTGCCTTTGTCTCTGCCTCTCTCTCTCTCTCTCTCTCATGAATAAATAAATCTTTAAAAAATTAAAAAATAAAAAAAATAAAACATTGGCAGAGAGATGAATCAGCCTATAAAGAAACATGGCTGATGAGAAGATTCTAAAAATCTTTGGATCTACAAGTACCTGTTTAGCTTACTTCTCTTATGATAAATTAAAATTTTATGATATAAATTATAAATTTCAATTCTTGTTTTATAGATCATAGTATCAGTCTGGTATCAATGGAAGTAACAGTAAATGCTGTAGCTGGAGCTCTTAAAGCTTTCTTCGCAGATCTGCCAGATCCTTTAATTCCATATTCTCTTCATCCAGAATTATTGGAAGCAGCAAGTAAGTTATAAGCCTCTTTTTTTTTTTTTCTTGCAGGGGTTGATGATTGTGGGTTTTATATATTTATTGCTATATATTAAAATCAGTCATGCGCTAGACTGTGTAGCTAATAAAAATTTAGCTTATAAGATTCTTTGGGGGTAGGGAGTGTTCCCAGGAATACTTAGTTTTAGCTGCTTTCTCAAGTGACTCAATGCTCCTAGAAGTTTGAAGATCATTGTACTAGAAATTTCAAATTTGCATTTTTGATCCAAACTCAGAGGCTTTGTAAGGAAATTAAATGAACTTTTCAAATGAATGTATCTGTGATATTTCAGTAAAATATTAGCCAGTGTATGGTGTGTACACATGTGTATTTAGACTTTTTAAAGTAAAATTAACTTTAGTCTCATATCTTCAGTCATTTTTTGAAAAAGTAAGGTAGGAAAATAGGTACTTACTCAGTATTACCATTTCCCATTTTACCATCTCTGAGTCACTTCAACCTTCTGTGATTAGCTTTATTTACAGAAAAGCTGTTGTAATAGATGATAGTATATTTAGCAGTTTCTTTAGAACATTTTGTTTACCTATCCTAATGTGCTTCAGACAGATTATTCATTGTCTTTTACAATAAGTAGAGCAGGAAGCTTTATCAAATATTTTTATTTTTATTTTTTTTATTTTTATTTTTTTTATCAAATATTTTTAAATATGAGTTTCAACAGATTCCTCACTACTTTAATTTTACAGAAATCCCGGATAAAACAGAACGTCTTCATGCATTGAAAGAAATTGTTAAGAAATTTCATCCTGTAAACTATGATGTATTCAAATATGTAATAACACATCTAAACAGGTATTTTTATTTTTATTTTTACAAATGCACTATAAATTTCAAACTTCAGACTTTATAAATTGGATAAGTAATAAGACAGAAAAGGACACAAGCTAATTTAAACATACAGTTCAATTTTGGTTCTATTTTTTTCTGGATTTTTAAAATAGATTTTCATCCATTTGTTTAGAGAAAGGTATGTTATCCTAATTTAATGATTATATAAATAGTATAATAGGTAAATTTTATCTGTTTTTTTATTACTGTTATTCAACAGTTCTCTACTATAGAATCTTAGAATTTCAGATGTGGAATGACTCTTAAATAAAAAAACAAATTAACCTATCTGAAGTTGGAAAAATTGAGGTTTAAAGAAGGAAATTATGTGCTCAGTATCATATAATTAATAAATGACATATCTTATGAGTAGAACCCATCTTATTAAGAGGTTTCATTTGCTTTTTCTATCACTGTGTTGCTTTCCCTTGCTTAATTAAGTCTTCATTTTCTCAACTATAAAAACGAGAAAAATAACACCTCATAGAATTGTTCTTGGGACTAAATAGAATTATTAGTATTTATGCTAATTTTTCAAAAGTTTACTCTTCATAATATTTTGACACTTTAACAAACTGAAGTTTGTTTTTGTTTTTTTTTTAGTATATAACTAATAACATCAATGCTGAAACCCAAGTACATTTCAGTTTATACCTCTTAAAAGAGAATATTAACCAATGTTTAAAGGTTCATTGTTGCAGTCAGCATAGTATAAAATTAAATGAACATTTCTAGTAACCAGTCTTTGAAGTCTCCCTCCTTGAGAAAATACCAGCATACTAGTATTGACATATAATTGGAATTGTCATCTTCTGACATGGAATATATTATCTTTTAAAAATTACCATACAAGTGGTTCTTTTTTGTTTTTGTTTTTTTTACAAGTGGTTCTTGGTATGATAACAGTTGTGTACATGGTACTCGGAGACCTTACTCAATACGGAGTGTAAGGATGGTTGGTGACCATGTTATTGTCTGGCCAGATTAAAGTGCTCAAGTAAGAATTGAACTTCAAAAAAGAATAGAGGAAAAAAACACAGGGAAAAGCGTGTTCAAAGAATCATGGTGCTAGCCCACAGTCAGTACTGTTAGACAGTTACATGTTTGGCTTCAGTAATACAGCCACACCACAAAAGCACATGTGAAATGTTGCAGAATAGCTGAGGACTTTGTGATTCCAGTAGAGAGAAAGGATGGACAGAGTAAGAATTGAGGTCAGAAAGGGAAAAGAGACAGTATGAGGTCATATAGGACAGTATTATGCAGAGTGTAAGGGACTACCTTTAATCCTCAAAATGTTTTACTGTTAAGATAAAGGTGTTTCATGAGTGTATGTCACTAAGCACACTGTTAACTTCAACTGACATTTATGAAGAGGTGAGGAATGAGACTTTCTCATTGAAAGTAGCATTGCATGCCTATTACCCCTGGAGAGTAGAGCAGAGAAAATAACATCATCAGACTTTTAATTTTAAAAGGAATAATCAACTAGAGTGTAATGGGAACTCTGTGTACCAGATATTCTTATACACTAGGGAAATAGCAAGTGAATAAAGCATTCATTCATTTCATGGAACTTAAAATCTAGTATAGGAAGTAAATGACAAATAATACGTAATGGATGATTGACAAATTGCAAATACTAATCCATACAGTTACTTTTTTTGTTACATTCTCTTTCACCTTCCATATTGAGTGAGTTACTGTGTCAAATCCATTTTTTCTCCTTATTAAATTTCCTTCTTGTTCCTCTGCTACTGCTTTAGGTTAGCCATAATCATTTCTCATTTAGGTAACTCTGATTTCTTTGTAACTAAGCTCTTTCCATGGCAGTTTTCCTATTGATTCTCCTTTGAGATCTTTCTGTAAATATCTCTTTTGATCGAATAACATGCTATACCCTAAATAAAAAACTGTTAAAGTGGTCTAGTTCTAAGTTCTTCAGTTATACCTTCTTTCCATTTCCCCCAAGCACACACCAGGTAACTGTATTTAACTCATAGCACTGAATTAAAAGTATTAATTTGTCTTATCATTACATCTTAGTGTGACTGCCTCAGTTTTCAAAATGCAGTCCTCAGCAGGAGCAGCATCACCTCTGAACTTGTTAGGAAAAAAAAAAAAACAGAACTTGTTAGGAATGCAAATTTTCAGGTCCCATCCCAGACTTAATTATCAGTGTGTGCTTTAACAAGCCCTCCAAGAGGTTCTGATACACAACAAAGTTGAGAAAACACTGTTTTGACTGAATTACCCTTCCTTCTTACCATTTTACCAGTTGCCCATCACTCTTAACTCAAACATTACCTCTTCAAAGAAGCCTTCTCTGGCCACTCTCATCTCCTATTTGGTACCTTTCTTTTATAATTTTTGACCCAGCAGTTAGACCTGATACCCATACCTTTGTGTCTTTCAACCCTATAGATTTTTTTTTCTTTTTTCAGAATCTGTATTTTCCTACTGCATAGAAATACCTGAATGAGCCCACTATATTTTAACAAAAGGTTAATTTTATTCTGAATATTCTTATTTTGTTTCTTAACAAATAGTAATATCTTTTACCATAGAACACATATTTTTAGGGCACATATTTTACCTCACATGAGCAGTTCCTATGGTTGAGGAGAGGGGATTCTTTGGTTTATATTTAAAATATTTTGATGTGCAAATTTAATTATGAAACTTTCCCACCACCTTGCATACCAGGCTGTTTTCTTTATGTGTGGAATAAGAGGATCAGATAAAAATACTAAGATTCTTTGTCAATTTAATAATTTTTAGTTATAATTCAAGATTTGCCTCGTATGCTCCTTGTTTATTATAGACAGTGATAGAAGTGCTTGTTCACATATTTAAGAAACTAGATATAAATCTGTTAATACTGTATGATCATTTACAAATTATTATTCCTAAGAATTTTAAGGTGAAATGTGTTCCTGTGAACTGTTGTCTTTCAAATTAAATTTGTAGCAAGGTACAAGATATTTAATGATTGGAAGATTCTTTCACAATACTAGAAACTAATTTTTTTGAAATTTGAGAAGCCTCTTGGAGCATTTGATGGAGAAATTTTTCTAAAATTGGGGTTTTTTCCAAAGTTCAAAGAGCTGGTATACCATAGTTTGTCTTTTTCATCTCTCATAATAGTCAAGGAATTTGGATATGCAATTAGAATTTTCTGTTTCTGTTCCCAGAAACTCATTAAAATTGTCACATGTCCTTTATACTGTGAGAAAAAGGGTTTGTTTGTTTCCTCAAACAAATTAAGGAGGCTTCTATAAATTATAAAACCCTTGGTACAATATATTTTTAAAGACTATCTTTGGTTCTCATGAGGAATGGATTTTACCGCTCTCTTATTACTGGAATGTAGTTGAACATCTTAGAATACATAAGAAGAAAAATGCTTTAAATTTGAAGGTAAGATAAAAGGTTATAAAGCTAAATCATCTGAGATCTAGGATACTTAAATTGTCATGGATTTTGATTGGTTTCTAATTGTTTTTTCCTATCATAATTTCAGGGTTAGTCAGCAAAATAAAATCAACCTAATGACAGCAGACAACTTATCCATCTGCTTTTGGCCAACCTTGATGAGACCCGATTTTGAAAATCGAGAGTTTCTGTCTACCACTAAGATCCATCAATCTGTTGTTGAAACGTTCATTCAACAGTGTCAGTTTTTCTTTTATAATGGAGAAATTGTAGAAACTGTGAACACTGTCGCTCCTCCACCACCTTCAAACCCAGGACAGTTGGTGGAACCAATGGTACCGCTTCAGTTGCCACCACCCTTGCAACCTCAGCTGATTCAACCACAGTTACAGACAGATCCTCTTGGTATTATATAAGTAGGAATTGATTGCAGACAGCCTGAAATTGACAAAAAGCAAATCTAGGCATGCATGTTTCAGGGTTTAGTAGTATACTTGATTTTTCTTGCAGGTAATACACATTCAAAATGATGAGACATTTTCTTTTTGAACTATATGATATTCCTTATTCACTTACATTACAAATCTAAGACCATGTGATAAGCATGACTGGAGAGGTTTAATTTTTATAAGCAAAAATAGCTATAAAATACAAAGCTGCTGTTGCATGCAACCTTATTGCAATCAGTATATCATTCCTGTGGCATTTTCTGTCACATTATATTGTGAATAAAATTTTTCTATAAAAATTAAATGATTTAAAAACTCACATATATGAAACATTTAATGCTTTTCAGCCTGCTTTATGGCTGATTTTGTTATTTGATGTGCTAATTTGGGCAACTTAATTTACATTTTAGCAATCTGTGTAGATAACTAAAAGCCCAGTTAAGTATTTTATAATTTCAGGCTACTTATGCCATGCTTGGGATGTTGTTTGAAAGAAAGAAAAATACACTTAACATATTTCTACACCTTCATCTTCTAAATAAACCTGTGGATGATTTGATGAGGGGTAAACGAAAATATTTCTTGTACACGCATACCAAGGATATACTTGTGGCTAAAGTGAGTTGATAATGTTGTGCAAAGGATAGTTGTCACCAACTCATTTCTTTATGGTCCATAATGAAATAAACATCTTGTATACTGTTAATTCTGTAAACAGATGCATGTTCAAAAGATCTATGATGGTCTTGTAATCTTAATCTAATATATTTTAGATATTTTAATTTTTTCCCTCTTGGGAAATACATTTAGTATAGTGTAGAAAATACTTCATGACATTTTCATATAAGGTTATATAACTTTTCGTACATAAACATGAAATTTGTTGTAGAAAATTCTTTAAACCAAACATTTTAATCTAGGACTTCAATTTAATCTGTTCCTTGAATCTATTTTTATGTGGCCCTTAAAAACATATCCAAAATCCATTGCTAATATAGCAATAAAAATACTTTGGGTACTGACAGCCTCTTTGGAGTGTGTATATATAAAATTACAAACTTGTATTCATATTCTTTTCTGTGATATGTTGTACTAAAATCAAATTGCTTTTGCACCATTTTTTTTTAAACAATTTTTTTCTTTTGACATTGGTACCATATTTGCTGTAAATGACTGCTGCTTTGGGGGTTAAACATTTTGTTAGTGAAGATACAACCAGAACACTAAATTATGGATAAAAATTTCAGAATAGATGGCATAGGGTAAATATTTTTAGGCTTCATTCAAAATTGGTTTATTAAAAACCATGCCTTTTTTTTTCCGGAAAAAAAATGGCATGGTTTTTCATTGTTAGGTTATATTTTTCTGTAGGAAAGAAGAAATTCTTTGGTCCGTGTTGTAATACTCATTCATACTGCAATTTTAAGGTTGTCTTATGTGTAATATAGTAAATAGATCATTTTGAGATTTGAGGCTCCTAAGAGTTTGATTTGCTCATTTTCCCCTAAAATAAATACTGTCTTTCCCAACTGTTATGTCCTAGGTATTGTACTTCTAATTTTAACTTCAGAATCAAGATATCAACATGAACCAGGCTGCTGTTGAAGTACATGTATATTATAAATTATCTTACTTGTGTTATACTCTTATGTGTTATTATCTTTTCTAAGAAAACAAAGTCCCTATTATTCCTATTGCAAAGCACACAGGAATTAAGAAAGTACAGTAATTTTTAAAAAGAAAAATCCGGTAAATGTAGTATTCTTAACTTGTTCTATATTACTTAATAACCTATTGTCTATATAGCTTTAATTTATAGCTGTCAGTTTAACATTGGCATGTCTGGCAAAGAAAATTAAACTTTAAGAGTTTTATAAACTGTTTCTAGGTTGCTAAAGAATTTATTTTTCTACTATATATGGTATAGACAAAGCTCAAAACTATGTACAGGAAAAAAAGCCTGACTATTTCTTTTGGAAGTAGGCTGAAAAGAGAATTTTCAGAACTATACTTGTCTTCAGTTCATTCGGTCATGACTTTGCTATTGTAATATGTGAATCCCAGTTTATTTAAGCTATTCTCTTTTATACTATGTTAATTTAACTTTCATGTACATTTAGTATCATTTTTGTTATTAAAACTATAGCATTTACCATTTTCCACATTAACTACCTTACATCTTCCCCAAAACTTCTCTCCATTTTTCTATGCATTCTATAATTGATTTGAAAACCTTCGTAGTGGGTCATTTAAAATTCTACATTTGGTTCAGTTAACCTGTAGGCTACAGTTAATTGAAAATTAAAGTAGAGTTTAAAGCTCAGTCTGTTACACTGAATTGATTGCGTTTGTTTTTGCCAAGGGTTTAGATATGTTTTTAAATCTTAGGAAAATAATTCTAAGAACAGAATAATATAATTAAACTTTTTTTTCTGGTAAGTTACTGGAAGGTTTCACTGTTTAGGGACATATTATATATGAGACTTAAAGGATGAAAAGAATATTAGATAGTCTCATAATTATGGGTAAATATTAAGGCATTATATTTTACAATTTTAAATAAAATTCCATCTACACACATGTTGCCATTGTTTCATTTAAGCTTCAGTGCTTGACCAGTGTCTAGATTAGCAATATAAAGAAGCATAGTGGTACTCCTTTTCAGATTTTTAGTAGACTTATTGGAGGACAAATCCTATTCATCAGACACCAGAATATACAATTAATTTTAGAACAAAATTCCAGGCATAATACGTTTCCATTTGAAATGATAATTGTTTAGTAGTGCTTCCCCCCCACCCACCATTTACGATGTATATACTGTAGGTGACAGCAATCTAACTTAGCCAAAAAGCAGCTTTTATTTTCCATACTGTGTATAAATAATGTAGACCTTTCTTTTTTGAGGTACTGGAATTCAATTTCTGATATCTCTTAGATATAAACAAAAGGGAACAATTGGGATAAGAATTTAGGCCTTAGCTTCCATGGTGATTTTTAGTTTTTTATACAAGTAATGTGATGTTATTTGTCAACTGGATATAAATATATATATATAATTTTAAAAAGTCAAAAGTGCTTTGTTTCTTTGTTTATAATTAATGTAATTTTGTGCTTCACCCACAGGATGCTGCAGTAATTTAAATATCAGTGAAGCTTCTTCTGTATAAAGAATGCTATGAATAAAACATTAAGAAGCTATAATTTTAAGTTATAGTTGCCTCTAATTTTACCATTTCATTGGTAAAAGCCCTTTTTTGGCATAAAATAGGAAAATAAAAATAAATTTGTCAATATGACATAAGTTTTATTAGGGAAGTATATTGTTGAGCTTTTACTATACCATGAGAGGAAATCCAAAATTTATTTTGGATGTATACATACTGGTGGAAATTCAATTTTTAACTGTTTAGGAAAAGATGGATTGCTCAGATTTCTGACTCTGCTGTTACTGGACCTGAATTTTGAGCTGTGGGTAGATACTCTTTTGAGCCCCTGAAAATATTTTGGTGTATTCTAGTTTATTAGCAGGACTGCTAACATTGAAGAGTATACTTTTGTTTTCTCTTTATGGTTCATTAAGCCCAACTTTATGGTTGTATGTTCTCAGATTGTATGGGTCTGGTAAAGTATGTTTGACTTTAATCTTTGTGTTTATCTTTAATTCAATCATTTTAATGACTTATCTAATTCTTGGGCTGAACAATTTATTTGTTTCAGTACTTTATAGGTCTTGTTTAATTTTCTTTTGTATTTAAACTCTTGGAATTTTCAGCAGCCTTTTCAATTTACCAAACATCTGGAAATAAAATTTTCTAAGATTTAATAGTGGAAGGAACTACTCTTCAAAATTGATTTCTTATGATAACATCTTTTTAGTTGAGCAAACTGTATAAGCATTAATATCTTATGTCTAGTTTCTAGTAATTAGCTATCCAGGTACCTGATCTCTTTAACATAGTTAAAATCTAACTAACGAACTTGGGATATTCACTATTTATATAAACTTTGTTTGTCATCATCCTATGAGCTTGATTCCATATTAGTTTTATATCTTTGTGGGAAGGTGGGTCTAGGTGGAGGGGTCCACAGTTCTCATATTATTTAAATTGTAAAGTATTTAATATTAGTCTTTTTATAGAAATCTTTCAGGCAATAGGAATGAGTTGGAAAGCTAATCAATAATAGTCAAAGTTAAGATTTTGGGTATTACTGAGTTTAACATATAAAATTATAAACCTTAAAATTAATGCAAGTACTAGTAGTTCTGGTTTAGTCATTTTACAAGTAGTGCTAAGACCTGCAATATACACACGGAGTAGTTGTCATGGAATTTGTGGAAACATTTGTTTATTCCCACAGTGCAGATTTTCTGTTCAATCTTATTTGCCTCACATGGTAAAAATTATGAACAATTTAATAATGGCTCTCCTGAAAGTTTGTGCGATTTTTAGTTAAGATTCTACTAGTGTTGTAACCTATTTTTTCAAGTTTTTCTCTGTTTTGTATTAAATCTTACTCCAAAACAAGTGATGTAGGCTTAGCAATTGATCTATTTATTCATTACTTCACTAATTCATCCAAGTTACTTGTAAATATATATCTATACTTATCAGATCATTTTCTTGTGACCTTGAACTGAATATTTTGTCCTAATCATTTAATGTGTTTTAGATGCTTGCTAGTTTTTAACAGATCTTGCCCATTTTAAATTTGGATCTCTTGGTTTTCTTTCCTTTTCTCTAGATTCTTGGTATTTTCATTTTATCCAATGTCTTTGTAATTCAGTGAAACCACCTTATACTTAATACCCTAAAGTGATAAGTAAAGTTAGAAGCAATCTATACTATCCTTGCTGTTCATATTTTTATAAAACTTGGGTTATTTTAAATGTGTAGGTGAAAAGATTTTTAAAACAACAAAACCCAAGCTATCTGAAAGAACATAACCTTTAGATACCCTCTCAAATTTACTTCCTGGAAATTTCACTTTCAGATTTTTCATCTTTGTTGGTGCTCAAAGGTGTAATTGCTAAATGTTTTTGGTTTAGAGAGAGAAACCATTGCCAGTGATGCCTTTTTCAAATACAAACTAAAATATTTTATCCAATCTTCGGTTACAAAATGATGGATGTGGGCCACTGGTCTGGCTCAGTCAATGAAGCATGCGACTCATGATCTTAGGGTTGTGAGTTCAAGTCCCACATTGGGTGTAGAAATTACTTAATATTTTTTTCTAATATGGAAGTTTGTGACTTTAAAAATTTATTGAAATAATCATTTTCACGGTGTAGATCAAGGTGAGGAAACTTTTCCAAAGGGCAGATGATGGATATCTTAGGCTTAGCAGGCCATAGGATCTCAGTTCCACTGTTGTAGTGCAGAAACAGCCACAAACAATATAGGAATAAATGGACATGACTGTGTTCCAGTAAAATCGTGTTTATAGAAAAGAACCAGCAGACTTGACTGAACTTGCCCCCATAAACCAGATGGTTCCTGGCATAGCTTATTAGTAAAATTCAATCTCCCAAGTTTCCAATCATGTGGAATAATTTATGATTGATTAACTCCTAATAATATAGGTCAAAGTAATATTTTACAGAGGGTGATGATAATTATCCTCTATTTTACCATCCTTTTTCCCCTAAGGGAATGATCTTTTTTAGTTGTAGTAACGTAAATGAGTTATATGGAATAGTTCTTTAAAAGGTTATAGTAAATTATTAAAACATTACATCCAGTGTGTAGGACTGATGATATAACTGTGTATATCAGAATTGAATTGCTTTCACGGCCTTACTTCTATTATTGGGAGGAGTGGGGGTTAGCAGAGGGAAAGAGGAAATCCTGAGCAGGCTCCACACCCTGTGCAGAGCCTGATGCAAGGCTCAATCTCATGACTCAGATCATGAGCCAAAACCAGGAGTTAGACAGTGAAGTGACAACCACCCAGGTGTTCCACCTTCTGTTCTTAAAGATGACTTTATTTTTTAAAGATGTATTTATTTATTTTTAAAGCATATTATCAGGGAGGGGAGTGCAGAGAGAGAAGGAGAGGATCTCAAGCAAGTTCCCCACTGAGCACAGAGCCACAGGACAGAGCTCAATCCCATGACCCTGAGATCATGACCTGAACTAAAATCAAGAGCTAGATACCCAACTGCCTGAGCCACCCAGGTGCCCCTTACAGTAATATTTTTAATGGTGGTAATTGCGTCTCCATACATAACATTAATCATGAGCATATGTTAAATATTTCAGTTAATTGTGACATTAATGAAGTGATTAATATTTTTAAACTACTAATCCTAAAATACCAAAATCATGTCTATAGTGGATCTGTAAGTATATGACCACTATTTTGTGGATGATCTCTTAAAAATATAAGCTTTTGCTTCAGGAAACCTTTTATTGCTGTTTTTAGTCTACTTAAGTGCCATTTGAGGTATATAGGCAGCAACTCTTATTAATTCAGACAAATTCAAGCCAGTTCCTTGAACTAAGAATTACCTTAGAAGTTTTAAGAATATGCTGGCTTTTGAGTATTTTTGTTTATAGCCATGATTTCCAAATCTCAGAATCACTCATGGAAAACTATTTAAGCTGTCCAGAAGCCATTTAGCTGTACAAATCTCTGAGGTGCAAGAATAAGAGATTTATTTCTAGTTATGTGCTTATCTCTTCCATCTGGGGAAGACAAACGAGTTTCTGGAAGAAAAAAAAGTTCATATGAAAAGAGTTCATTACATAGAAAAGGCCTTGGCACTCAAATTTAAACAACTTTATATCAATTTGCAGACTTGATGGTTACTGAGCAATGCTATCATAAGTTGTAATAAACCAGTCATAACTAAAAATGTTAATGGCAAAGAATCTGGGCATATTGCTAAGGCAGCTTTTATTGTTATTTGTTAGAAAATTCAGCTGTTTATAATGTCTTTTAACTCTTTAATAAAAGGGTCCTATCAAAATAGGAAACTGATAAATTGGAGGAGAGAGTGATTTGCATTGCAGAATGTGTTCAGTATTTTAAACTTCTACATTCCAAGTTTTCCAAGGTCACCATTTTCATTTTTTCTACCACTTTAAAATTTTTGCTTTACAAACACTGTAGAGGTTCAGTTTTTCACATGAAGAGGTTATAGCTCACGGCAGGTCAACACACCATCTAACAACCTATTAAAGCAGGATAATTTTCAAAAGCCATATTTTTAAAGGCATCAGTGTGATGTGGAAATGAGGTATACTCTAGACTCAATCCCAGAAAGGGGATAATTATTCAGAAATTAGCAGAAGAAGACAAACTGTTTTACATTCTAGA